GTTGGAACTGCATTCTTTGATTTCTGACTTGGAATCCGAGATTTTCACTGAGAACGAGACTTCTAATTCACTTTTGTTTCATATGTTCTTTCTGGGTATTTGGCTCGGCATTAGTCTGTGAAAGGTAACAGACTGAGGCCATCCAAAATTTTACAGTCAGGTAGGGGAAACAGATGTGTATGTCCTCATTCTCTTATGAGGCCAAATGCATGCTTAAGTAGAAGAACAAACAACATGTTCTGGGAACCTGGATAACGGAATTATTATGCTTAGGGTTATTTCACTGAAGAGGTTACATGTCCCTGTTTTAAAAGGATCAGTTTTAAATCGGGAAGGACATCTGAGCCTGAGAACATCTTGTAACAAGGTATTGAATCGTGAAAGGTGTGTTTGAGTAGTAGTCCACTGTGGCAGGAACAGTGGGTGCAAGGAGAGAAGAAATAAATGAATCTGTAAAGGTTGGTTTAGGACCAGAATATGAATGGCTTTGAATTTTTGGGTCACCCAGAGGACCTGAAGTCCAGCTTTCTGCTGTTTATCAGACATGCTAATGAATTGGCAATGGCTTTAATACCAGTATTATTTTAGGTATTTAGGATTTAAATGCTCTCTTAGTGTTCTTAGGCCTTATTATTTTTCTTTAGACTATCTCAAATATAACCTTTTGCAAAATAAGTAGAAAATATAAAGATGTGCTGTTTTTGTTCATTCAGGAGGTTATTCATTTGGGGATATTGATAGTATAGCTTTGATATTTATTGGTAGCATAAGATGCTCTCAAACAGGAAAATCAAAGTTCTGATCAGTTTTCCTGAATTTTTTAGAAACCCAGCTAAAAGCTTTGGTCTATTGCTATTCATTGTCCAAACTTGTTATTTTTGAGATTATTCTATCAATGTGAATTAAGTGATGCCATAAGAAAATAGCAGAACATTCACTACTTGAACACTGTCTGTGCCCATCCCTATGGGTTATAAGTCAGGGGATAATAAATGTTTAGTAGAAATACACATAATACTGACATAGCTTCTTGCTTCCTTCCTAATGACATTTTCTTGGTGGAACTCTAGTTGTTCATGGGCCATCACTGTTTTCTCTTGTTAAGCCATTTTTGATAAACTGAAGCAGAATTAATGCTTTTAGGGGCAGTGCTGCCATAGCACTCAGTATAAATGTTATATTGCTTAGAGTAGTCCATTGTGTTAAGATTTTCTCTTCTACTTAGCTCCAAGATTGAGATAAACTGGTAACTATTTATTTATTTTGCTGTCCTATTCTTTCCAAACATTTATTTTTTTATTTTTTATTTTTATTTTATTTTTTTGAGTTAGAGTCTTGCTCTGTTGCCCAGGCTGAAGTGCAGTGGTGCAATCTCAGCTCACAGCAACCTCCGCCTTTTAGGTTCAAGCTATTCTCCTGCTTCAGCCTCCAGAGTACTGGGATCACAGGCATGCGCCACCACACCTGACTGATTTTTGTAGTTTTAGAGACAGAGTTTCGCCATGTTGGCCAGGCTGGTCTCAAACTCTTGACCACAAGTGATCCTCCCACCTCGGCCTCCCAAAGTGGTGGGATTGCTGGCATCAGCCACAATGCCTGAACCCTTTCAGACATTTCTATTAGGATCAGGCTTCACATCCTCTTTAACCAATCTGATTATATTTTACCCTGGCCAATGTGGCTTATGCTTTCCAGGATTGAAATATAAAAAGAGCTGGACTTACTCAAATCAGATAAAATCTTTTAGATCTTTCCGCATATTAAATTGTGTCAGGTGTATGGTTATGAATATGCATAATCTTGCCATCCAGCAGTTCTTCAGATACTGCTGACTTTGGCAAACAAATAGGGAACACATATTCTTCTCTGTTTTGTAAGGGGAAAAATGGGTTAATCAAAAATCCTGTGTATCAGCTTGTTTTGCCACTAATCCTTTGAATTAGATTTTTTGGTACATCACCAGGCTGAGAAAGTTTTTTCCCTAATTCTTTGCTTGATGAGTGGCTGGAATAGTTATAGTTTTGTTATTGTGTATCTTGCTGATGTATTTTTTTTTCCTGGGTTTATTTTTATTTTTATTTTATTTTATTTTTTATTTTTTTGAGACAGAGTCTCGCTCTGTCACCCAGGCTGGAGTGCAGTGACCGGATCTCAGCTCACTGCAAGCTCCGCCTCCCAGGTTTACGCCGTTTTCCTGCCTCAGCCTCCTGAGTAGCTGGGACTACAGGCGCCCGCCACCTCGCCTGGCTAGTTTTTTTGTACTTTTTAGTAGAGACGGGGTTTCACCGTGTTCGCCAGGATGGTCTCGATCTCCTGACCTCGTGATCCGCCCATCTCAGCCTCCCAAAGTGCTGGGATTACAGGCTTGAGCCACCGCGCCCGGCCTTCTTGTGTTTATTTTTAAGACTGGGTCTTGCCCTGTTGCCCAGGTTGGAGTACAGTGGCGTAATCATAGCTCACTTAACCTACAACTGCTGGGCTCAAGCGATCCTCCCATTTCAACCTCCCAAGTAGCTACAACTACAGGCGTGTGCCACCATGCCTGGCTAATTTTTACAATTTTTTTTTAGATATGGGATCTTGCTATGTTACCCAGGCTGATCTTGGAACTCCTGGGCTCAAGCAGTCCTCCTGCCTTGGCCTCCCACCGTGCTACGATTACAGGTGTGAGCCACAATGCCTGGCCTTGAATTTTTTTTTTAATAGAATTAATCATTTGGGAATCAATTTATCAGTATTGTTTGTAGTGCTCAGTAAAATGATTTATATTATAGTTAGTTGTCCTGTTGCAGTTTTGTTTAATGAAAAAGTTGAGGGTTGGGATTCAGAATATACTTCCTGTTTTTCTGTGATGTCTTTTAGAAGTCTCGTATTTGGGAAATACTTGTTCACCAGTTACGTCTGGCTGAAGGAGAATAGATATCACTTAGGGACCACACTAAAAGGTGTAGGTGAGAGATTTAACATCTGAGGGCAGTATCTCTGTAATGTGTAATGAGCAGTGATTAGAACATTGAACATAATCCAGATGAAAAATGAAGAAGCATCAAGGAGGAAGAAGTGCTACAAGTTGGGTTTAGCATGATCTAAGGCTTAGAAAGAAGAAAAGGGTTGGTCACGGTGTTTCACACCAATAATCTCAGCACTTTCGGAGGCTGAGGTGGGCGGATCACCCGAGGTCTGGAGTTCCAGACCAGCCTGGCCAACATGGTGAAACCCCCCTATACTAAAAATACAAAAACATTATCCGGGCATGGTGACGTGCGCCTGTGATCCCAGCTACTCAGGAGGCTGAGGCAGGAGAATCGCTTGAACTTAGGAGGTGGAGTTTACAGTGAGCTGAGATCACACCACTGCACTCCAGCCTGGGCGCTGAAGTGAAACTCTTGTCTCAGGAAAAAAAAAAAAAAAGAAAAGGCACAGGAGGGGAGATCAGAGGGACAGAATTGGTGGGGAGCAGTTAAATAGTTGTATCAGATGTGACCTTCTGCTATCAGTGGTATAAGTTGTTTTTCTCAAGAGTGTGATATGTAGGTCTGAGTTTTAAAATACAGGAGGCCAGGGGTTGCTCACGCATATAATCCCAGCACTTTGGGAAGCCAAGACAAGGATTGCTTGAGACTGCAAACATACAGAAAAGTAGAGAGCAGCTGGCGCAGTGGCATGCCTGGGCAGATGGCTTGAGCTCAGGAGTTCAAGATTGGCCGGGCAATATGGTAAGACCCTGTCTCTACAAAAAAAAAAATACAAGTTAGCCAGGTGTGGTGGTATGTGCCTGTAGTCCCAGCTACTTGGGAGGCTGAGGTGGGAGAATCTCTCTTGAGCCCAGGAGATTGAGGCTGCAGTGAGCTATGATGGGGCCACTGTGCTCCAGCCTGGGCGACAGAGTCAGACCCAGTTTCTAGAAAACAAAACGACTGGGCACAGTGGCTCATGCCTATAATCCCAGCACATTGGGAGGCTGAGACTGGTGGATCACCTGAGGTCAGGGGTTTGAGACCAGCCTGGCCAACGTGGCGAAACCCTGTCTCTCCTAAAAAATACAAAAATTAGCTGGGCGTGATGGTGTGCACCTGTAATCCCAGCTACTAGCGGGGCTGAGGTAGGAAAATTGCTTGAACCCAGGAGGTGGACGTTGCAGTGAGCCGAGATCATGCCACTGTACTCCAACCTGGGCAACAGAGCAGGACTCCATCTCAAAAAAACAAAACAACAGACCAGGTATGGTGGCTTATGCCTGTAATCCCAGTTTGGGAGGCCGATGCAGATGGATTGCATGAGGTCAGGAGTTTGAGCTTGGCCAACATGGTGAAACCCCGTCTCTACTGAAAATACAAAAATTAGCTGGACTTGGTGGTGCGTGCCTGTAATCCCAGCTACTTGGGAGGCTCAAGGAGAATCTTTTGAACCAGGAGGTGGAGGTTGCAGTGAGCCGAGATCATGCCATTGCACTTTAGCCTGGGCAACAGAGTGAGACTCCATCTCAAAACAAAATAACAAAACAAAAAAGTACAGTGAGTAGTAAAATGAACCCCTCATATACTTATCACCTAGCTTCAACGGTTCCAAGGTTAGGCCAAGTTTGTTTAATTGGTACACTGGTCCCTTCTACTCTTCCTATTATTTTGAAGCAGATCTTAGATGTACCATTTTATCCATAAATATTTCAGTGTGTATTTCTAAAATGTAAGGACTTAAGATAATACCATAATTACACCTAAAATTAAAATAATAAAATATCTAGTCAATGTTCTGTTTTACCCATTCTTTTAAACTTTGTTTTTCAGTTTCATTCGGGCTGCCAAGAAAACTGATACATTTTGATTGGTTGGTTTCTCTTACATCTTTTTCATTTCACAGTACATTGTGATTGAGTGATTTATCTCGTAAATCTTTTTCAGTTCATAGGTTCCTCCTCTGTCTCTTTCTTTTTCCTTGCACTTCATTTGTTGCAGAACCTTTGTCCTGTGGTTTCCCACAGTCTGGAGGAATTGGGAAAAATGGCAGTCAAAACTGGTTCCCTCCTTCCCATTACTGCTGCAATCAAGATGGTAGGGGGCCCACAAGCAATGGAAGCACCCAGAAAATTATGGACTCTAGGTATGAGCATAGTTCTGAAATCATACTTCAGGTTTAGGTTGTGCTAGTCATGGTAAGGAAATCCTTTTTTTTTTTTTGAGACCGAGTCTCACTCTGTCGTCCAGGCTGGAGTGCAATGGTGTGATCTCAGCTCACTGCAACCTTTGCCTTCCGGGTTCAAGCAATTCTTTTGCCTCAGCCTCCTGAGTAGCTGTGACTACAGGCACCTGCTACCATGCTCGGCTAATTTTTGTATTTTTAGTAGAGACAGTGTTTCGCCATGTTGGCCAGGCTGATCTTGAACTCTTGACGTCAGGTGATTCATCCACCTCCGTCTACCAAAGTGCTGGGATTATAGGCGTGAGCTACCATGCCCAGCCAGGAAGGAAAGCTTTCTTTTTTTTTTTTTTGAGACAGAGTCTCGCTCTGTCACCCATACTGGAGTGCAGTGGCACGATCTTGGCTCACTGCAAGTTCCACTTCCTGGGTTCATGCCATTCTCCTGTGTCTGCCTCCCTAGTAGCTGGGACCACAGGTGCCCACCACCACGCCCGGCTAATTTTTTTGTATTTTTAATAGAGATGGGGTTTCACCATGTTATCCAGGATGGTCTCGAGCTCCTGACCTCGTGATCTGCCTGCCTTGGCCTCCCAAAGTGCTGGGATTACAGGCGTGAGCCACTGCGCCTGGCCCTGGGAAGGAAATCTTAAAAAGGATTTGTATATTCTGGTTCTCCCCCCACCATAATTTTAATGTCAATAAATATACTCTTCAGTTTTTTTTTTTTTTTCTTTTTTTTTTTGAAACGGAGGTTTGCTCTCGTTGCCCAGGCTGGAGTACAATGGTGTGATCTCGGCTCACTGCAAGCTCTGCCTCCTGGATTCAAGCGATTCTCCTGCCTCAGCCTCCGGAGTAGCTGGAATTACAGGCATGCGCCACCACGCCCGGCTACTTTTGTATTTTTAGTAAAGACGGGGTTTCTCCATGTTGGTCAGGCTGGTCTCGAACTCCCGACCTCAGGTGATCTGCCTGCCTCAGCCTCCCAAAGTGCTGGGATTACAGGCGTGAGCCACCAAGCCTGGCCTACTCTTCATTTTTCTAACAGGCCTAACTGCTACCTGTTTTGTATGACACGCAGTTATACACATATCTTAAAAATGAGATGACCAATTTAAGAAAAACCTCATTTTTGACAGTATGCCATCAAGACTTTTCCTTTAGGATGGCTCTTTGGTAAATGCAAGTCTGATAAACACTTCACTAAGTGCTCTGATCTCTTGTTTAAGACATTTTTAAAAACTACACTTGGATATGACAACTCAGGATTTTAAGGACTACCCGTAACTTCAATTTTAGGATTCTAAATATACTGTCATGATAGGGAATCACTTCTTTTTAAGATTTCGTAATCAATAGCTAAGAGTCCTAGCATATATCCCTACCCTACCCCCAGTGAGTGGGTTTTACTAAAGATGGGAGTAGGGGAGAGGTTGAGGCAGGGAACAGAAATGTGGCTTTCATCCAGAAAATCAGGTAGTTAGATAATCCATATCACCTATTTCTACCTCTGTACTCCTTTTTCTACTACCACAGAATTGAAATTTTACTAATCTCACTTATCCCAGCTTCTCTTTATCTTATTTGTTCCCTTAATATCTCTTTCCTCCATTTCATCTCTCAAAATTCTTCTTTATCTGTTACACATTCTGCTCTCCTCTGCTCTTAAACTTGGGGAAGTAAATCCATCAAAAAGGCTAAGTTTCTTATAAAGGTAAACGTTTACTATAGGATCCAGCAATCCTATTCCTAGATATAGATGTTTACCCCCTAGTGTTTTTTGTTTGTTTGTTTGTTTTTGTTTTTGAGCGCTCTATTTCCCAGGCTGGAGTGCGGTCACAAGATCTCAGCTCACTGCAAGCTCCGCCTCCTGGGTTCAAGCGATACTTCTGCCTCAGCCTCCCGAGTAGCTGGGACTACAGGCGCGCACCATCACACCTGGCTAATTTTTGTCTTTTTAGTAGAGATGGGGTTTCACCATATTGGCCAGGCTGGTCTCGAACTCCTGACCTCAGGTGATCCATCCATATTGGCCTCCCAAAGTGCTGGGATTACAGGCGTGAGCCACCATGCTCGGCCTACCCCAGTGTTATTAAAACCTATCTTCACACAAAAACCTCTAAACAAATGTTTACAGTAGCTTTACTTGTAATCGCTGCAAACAACTCGATGTACTTCAACTAGAGAATGGATAAACACACTAGCACAGTGGAATACTACCCAGTAATAAAAAGGCAGAAACTATTGATGTGCACAACAGTGTGGAAATTGGAATATTTAACGGTTTAAATGGGTTAAAGAGTGCCAGCTTTTGGCAGTTTTGTGTGGCCAATAGGAGGTCCTAGTCTCTTTTTGCTCAGTCACTAGCAGACAGTATCCCTTTTTTCTTTGTCTTCACATCTGAATGTATTGAACTACGAGTCCAAATTGGGAAGGGATTAGGCTGGAACAGGATTTGTTCATGTTGGTCATAATTGAAGTTGGAAGAGATTATTAGCATAGACGTTTCTTTGCCTCCTCAAGTCTTCATTGTTTTTGACCCCTGGTTACTCATTTTGGTATGTTCTCTCATTTTTTATTTTCATAGTTGCCAACCCCCCCTTTTTTTTGAGGTGAAGTCTCACTCTGTTACCCAGGCTGGATTGCAGTGGCATCATCTTGGCTCACTGCAACCTCTGCCTCCCGGACTCAAGGATACTCTTGTTGCCCACGGGGGAGTGCAGTGGTGCGATCTTGGCTCACTGCAACCTCCACCTCCCAGGGTCAAGCGATTCTCATGCCTCAGCCTGCCGAGTAGCTGGGATTATAGGCATGCCACCACCATGCCTGGCTAATTTTTGTGTTTTTAGTGAAGACAGGGTTTCATTGTTGGCCAGGCTGGCTTTGAACTCCTGATCTCAAAGTGATCCAGCTGCTCTGACTTCCCCAAAGTGCTGGGATTACAGGCGTGAGCCACCGCACTCAGCCAGGTGCCAAGAAATTTTATGCGTTGATCATTTGTTGTTAGAAATGATCTATTTGCACATTTTTAGTCAGTTTATATTTAAGAAATTACAGGAATACTTACACACCAGGCTGTAACTTAGTGTTGGCTTTGAAGATACGGAGTTAGAGACAACATTGTCATTCCCAGAGATACAGAATTTGAAGTGGAATTTTACAAACCTTGGCTGGCATAGATAGGGGAGAGAAAAATTTGGAAAATTACTTTTAATGACTTCTACAGATTACCTATTTGTTTATTTACTTATTTAGAGACAGAGCCTGGCTCTAACACCCAGGCTAGAGTGCAGTGGTGTGATCTCAGCTCACCGCAACCTCTGCCTCCTGGGCTCGAGCCATCCTCTGACCTCAGCCTCCTGAATATCTGGGACTACAGGTGTGCACCTGTAGTGACTAATTTTTGTATTTTTGTCGGACTAATTTTTGTATTTTTTTGTAGAGACAGGGTTTCGTCATATTGCTTAGGCTGGCCTTGAACTTGTGAACTCAAGTGATCTGCCTGCCTGAGCATCCCAAAGTGTCCAGCCTTATTACCTTTTTATTGATTAATTTATTTATTTGAGATGGAGTCTTGCTCTGTCGCCTAGGTTGGAGTGCAGTGGTGCGATCTCGGCTCACTGCATCCTCTGCCTCTGGGGTTCAAGCAGTTCTCTGACTCAGCCCCCTGAGTAACTGGGATTCCAGATACTCACCTGGTTAATTTTTATATTTTTAGTAGAGACGGGGTTTCACCATCTTGGCTAGTCTGGTCCTGAACTCCTGACCTTGTGATCCACCCGCCTCGGCCTCCCAAAGTGCTGGGATTACCATTGTGAGCCCCCATGCCTGGCCAAGATCACCTTTTATGAAATATTTTAACGTACAGAAGAGAATAGAACAAAATATAATGAACACTAACCCACTATTCAGCTTTATCAATTCTTCGTTTTCTGCCATATTTTTTCCCACCTTTTTATTTATTTATTTTGAAAATGAAACCTCAGACACAAAGTTACCTTATTTATGAATGTCATGGTAATAATTTGTTTTCTCATAAATATTTGGGTATGTTATGTTTGGTATTTTGGCACATAGTTTATTAAGAAATTTCTGAGTTTTTAGTTCTCCGAATTGCATAATAAGCTGCTGAGTTTTATGGAATCTGATGTCTTAATTTTATGAATCACATGGTGTATGTGTAAATGTGCTGCAGTTTGCAGTGTGTTAACAAAGCCCATTAGCTTTTTGGACTTTATATCCATAGTTTCCAGCAGACAGAAAACAATGCCTGATTTGCATATAAACATTTAATTGTACTGCCTATAAGAAGTTCAGTAATAAACTCCCCTCAGGATTAATTAACTACAAACAACTGTCTAGGCCCAGGAGATTTTTGGCTGGGTAATTTTGTTACTAAATTTTAATAAGAATCTAGTCATGATTTACATGGATTTCATACCAACACTATTTCAGTATTTTATGAACCTTTGTAATTGGAAACTCTGATGCTAATCAGCAGGTACATAAAATCAGTAGGTAAAATTCAGTAGCTGAAATTAGTTCCTGAATAAATGTTATCCAGATGAGGAACTAGTTGCTGAAACTTTAGGATGGAAAAGTTCTTTAGACGGAAAATAAGAGAGATGCTTGATAAGGCAGAAAATGCAAGTTGCACAATATGTGTAGTGTGCAGTTTTTTTTTTTTTTTTTTTTTTTTTTTTGAGACTGAGTCTGGCTGTCGCCCAGGCTGGAGTGCAGTGGCCGGATCTCAGCTCACTGCAAGCTCCGCCTCCCGGGTTTACGCCATTCTCCTGCCTCAGCCTCCGGAGTAGCTGGGACCACAGGCGCCCGCCACCTCGCCCGTCTAGTTTTTTGTATTTTTTAGTAGAGACGGGGTTTCACCGTGTTAGCCAGGATGGTCTCGATCTCCTGA